TGTCTACTTTTGAGACCGCTTCATGTGCATTGTTAGGTCGAATTTTCGAAAATGCGCGCAATTTGTTGGCCGGCTATTCGAGCGAGAAGTCCGCCGAAACCTCAGGACGTTTTTATATTTCCGTACTCTTCTACCCTATTTTAGCCAGTCTGAATAAAAGTACCTTGGGAAAGAAGTTGGAGTTTGCGCTAACCGGAAAAAAAGTTGCATATTCCAGGTTATAGCGGTAGCGTCAAAGTAGGTTTTAACCAAAAAAAAATTCAGTGGAAAAAAAACTGTTAACAAAACGTATGTTATTTGCCTTCAGAAAGGGTTGATTTATATATGCGAAACAAAACAAAACCTTCAAACTAGAATATTGTGAAAAGACGAGCTCGGCAATTTGTGCTATTTTTGATAATCGGTGTTGTTAAAAACGGGCGTTTGAGCGCTGAAGCGATTTTCGCTTAGGAAAAAAATTATTTTGCTGTATTTGAAAAAACCAAGGTGGTTCCGATTACTTTTGAACTAAGATAGATTCCTGGGCGAAGTTTGAAGGAAATCGATTTTTCTAGCGAAACACACCGGACCGTTTTTAGGGAGACTGCGTCATAATTTTGAATGATAATAATGTTCTCTCATTTCTCCTTCAAAGCAAAGAAAGTAAATTGGTATTATCCCTTTTCACCCTATTTTTTATTTTTCTAATTTCTTTTTTTGACAGGAGGGCACCACTAAGGTCGTGTTTGCATATCATGCAGAGGACCCCACGTCTGAGGACGATATGAAGAAACATACATTCCGAGGGTCGAAGAGCATTCTACTTCTTAACAACATGGACAAGAAACAAGTTAACGAAACCGGGTGGCAGCAGTTTTACGTCACAAATAGAAATGTTAGATACAGATAAAAAGTTCTTATTTTAGTGTTCTACATTTTGGAGATTGTTATCGAAAGTGAAGATTGTAGAGTGTCCATTCAGGGAATTTGAAGCTAACTCAAAATGTAAATTTTTTTTTTAGGTAACAATTCCTAAAGAGCGCACAACTTATTGGTGTTCTCTTATCCAACTACCCGAGTTCAAATCAAAGCATCATATTACAAAGGTGAGTACAGAAGTGCAAAACATTGCAATAAAACCTGTTTTCATCCAATTATATCTTATTATAGTTAAGTGACCGATCAATGTAGAAGGCCACCGCTTAGATTCTTGCGAAAATAAGTATAAAATATGAACTTGCATGTTCAGGAATGCGTTGATAACAAATTGTTTATACGGTCCAACTGAGTTCTCCAAAGAAAAACAATTTGGTAGTCGGTGGGATTTATTGACCTTGCCACAACCTTTGACATTTCACTCGTGCATTTCAAAACTCTCCACTTATGAGTCAGAAAAAGCCACACCCTTAAATTGGACGGTGAGCTTAGGGCGGGTAACGAAATGTTTAGGTGTAGGGAAGTACCTAAGGTAAGTTTACGAAAGGTGTATCAATTGATCTATGCGGCAAAGGTTTCACAAACGTTTTTGTTCTTAGTGGAATTCTAGAGATTTGTAGCAACTAATCATTAAGAAGAAGTAAAGCGTTACACTATTGATGTTGGTGTCGCTTCCAAAGAAGTTTCAGTATATTGCTTTTTTATAGTTTGAGCCATACGTAACACCTGGAAACGAAGGAATCGTGCATCATTTACTCGTCTACGAGTGTCATGGGAATTTTAGTAATGCTTCCTTATATGGTTCTGGCTTTGACTGTTCTGTACCCAATATGCCTCTACGAAGTTGTTATGACTACAGTGTTGTTGCTGCTTGGGCTGTTGGTGGTACGGTAAGACGTTTAACTTACAGCTCGCCCGAGGAAAGTAACTTTAAATTTGAAATATTTTGACTTTTGAAAGGTTTTTCGTTACTCTTCCTAAAAAAATGTATGTTTTACTATCGAATAGGCATTTTATTATCCACCGAAGGCTGGGTATCCAGTTGGTACGTCGAACTCGTCAAGGACGTTTTTTCTTGAGCTACACTATGACAATCCTGATGCAATTGAAGGTTAGCTCCTCACATTTTGCGTCTTTTGTTTGTTTCAATTTTTAGTTGAGGAGAAGAAACAATGAGAGGTGTATTTTGCCCTCAGCTATAAAATATCTATTTACCTCAACATTTTTTTTTTTGTCAAATAGGACGAAAAGACAGCTCAGGGATTCGTTTTTACTACACTTCTCATCTCCGTGAGTACGATGCTGGGATAATGTGTGTTGGAGAAAGAATAAGTCAATTTGCGATAATCCCACCAAAACAGGAATCTTGGTTGACTGTGGGTTACTGTCCCAAGGAATGCTCTCAGGTAAATTGTCTCAAACGTTCACAATCACTTGCGTTTCCATGAAAACTTCTTATTCACCCCCATGCCATCCAGAGTTTTTAAAAAAGATAAAAAATAAAAAAATGGCAATGTGGTGAAGCTGGCATCGAAAAGGGGCAAAACACATGTGGTTAACAACTTATGATTTCACCTTTTTTTATACACGGTGCATTACAGTGCCTAGGAACGTGTGTCTTAAATTTACATCAGCATTTAACATAAAGCACTTTTTCATAGGAAGACTTGCAGGCGACTAAGCTCCCTGAAAAAGGAATAAAAGTGTTTGCTGCCCTTCTTCACACCCACCTGCAGGGTAAGTCACCTTGCTCTACTTTCGTTGTTTAGAAGTGCATGGTGGTTGTTGTTTGTTTATATGTACGCTTGTCTGATTTATGTTTCCACGTTCTGTTGATAGTCATACGTCATTATGGAGCTAAACCTTAATATCATTGAGTTTTGTTTTCATCTGCAGGGCGTGCAACATGGACAAAGCATGTTCGCAACGGAGTTGAGTTACCAGAAATTGCAAGAGATGACCATTATGATTTTAACTTTCAGGTAATTTATACTTCATACCTCAGGTGCGACTTAATGTGGCATAAGATCCACTATCAGCATTTGCCGAATACACAAGAATTATTATACAATATGCTACCCCCTTATCAACTTATCCTTTATTTCACTTGAATCAATTTGTCCAGTCGGAACTACTAATATTTTCACGACATCCAGAATACTTTAATTTTCAATATATATATTTTTCGTTTTACCCAGTCAGTACTGACAACATCTGGGAATATCGCGACCTCATAAGATAACTCTTCCAGTTGTCAGTGGTCGCTCACGGAAGTCATAGTACAACCATAACCTCAACACTGTGGGCACTGTGACCCTTCCCTATTAAGATTCAAGTGCTCCTTTCGAGTGTCGAAACGTGATACATTCTAATAAGTGCCTCAGTTCATCTTTCACTACGTGAGCCATAAGACATTGCTGGCTGCCAAGCTGCGAAATGATTTTATCGAAAAAACTGTTATTAATTTTCCAACAGTTAACTTTCACTTGTTATTCCGCAGGATATACAAGTTTTGAGAGAGGAGGCTCACATCAAACCGGTTTGAGAAAAACTTTGATTTTAGAGCCAGTTTTTCATAGAATTACATTTTATATTATCTCATGAAAGGATAATAATTGATGTGAGTTAGACGATGTGTCCTACTGATTTATTTAATGCACTCAAGCTTCCACGCAACCATGTGATTGAATAATCTGGAAGAACAACATTGCTTATGATCATTTTACGTTCCTTTTTTTTTTTAATTAAATTAGATTAAGTTAATGTGAGTTTGATCTTTTCTATCAAATCGAGATTTAAGAATTCGCATCCAGATGATCGCTGCACATTTTGTTTTCTTCACTGACGTCTTTCTTATCCTTCAGGGGGACGACTTAATTCATTTCTGCAAATACGAGACAATGGATCGCGATACACTCGTGCAGGCAAGTGCGATATCTGGGCCCTCAAAAAAAGCTGTTGGTTTCTTTACAGCAGTGACACCTCTCTCAATCTCTATTTCAAGTGATTGCAATAAAAACATGCCATCATTGATTTCACTTTACATGGTGCATGACAGAGTGACAGATAATGTACTCCTACTCCACTTACAGGCTGGTTTCTCTACCACTCAAGAAATGTGTCTGAATTACATGTTTTACTATCCTCGAATGGTGAATGCTACAGCATATTGCTCCAGCTCTCTACGTAAGCCAGTGTACGACTTCATCAAAGAACGCTTGTAAGTGAATTAATACATTCTTGTTCAAGTAATGTTGAAATTAGATCTGGTCTGCTTCCACGAAACCACCTTAATACGTCTGTCGAGAAAATAATCAAAACGCAGCATCAAAAGTGCGAACAACAGCTCAAGTAAAACCGGTGTTGCATGCTCTGCCACCTGAAATCTTTCGCATTTCTCAACAAGAATCCTGTTTTTGGGAGCTATTTTATTGAATAATTACCCATCCCCACTTAATTTCACAAGTACTTTCATCGCCTATCAATGAAAAGCAAGGAGTTTAACACTAAAGTGTTGGTATTCGGGGCATTGTAATTATTCCCTAGATATGCTATTTGTGTATTTGGTTCATTCCTATGCTGTCGTGCTGAGGTATCCCTCCCTGAAAGGAGGGAATGAATTTCTCCTACAAAGGGCCTATTTCATTCGTCGCGTGAAACGAAATGATCCGTCCAGCAAGTTTCTTGAAGGTAATAGAACATTCAGCGTTGATCATGACTGGCATCCTTTCTTTGCCAAGTCGTCAAGAAGCTGGATAAATCTCATTGGCGTTCTAGTCAACTAACACAGTGAAAATTGACCAACAAATGAATTTAAGCACATGACTCTCTGACAGAGTATTATCCCTATAACAGCCTAGAGAACAAAACTCAAAGCAAACTGCAAAAAGAAATGTTTGCGAATACGAAAAGAGTTGAAGAACACAGAGAAGATGAAAAGGAAACACACCATAGCACCAAAAGAAGCGAACATGACTGTGGAGTTAAACCAAAGATTGTCTATTAAATCGTAGAGGTATAGCATGTCTTGTTTCAAGCAATGTTTGGTTTCAATCTATTTTTAACTTTAATTTTTCTTTGTCTAGCCCTTCCTTAAAGGAGTCAAAATGGTCAAATCCTCTCATTGGGGCAAATATCTCATGGACGAAGGAATTGGTATCTGACTTGAGGAAGAGATTCGATGAAGCAGAGACATTTCTTCCATATTGTCGCGCGGTCAGTAAACTGATGAGGGGCCTGTGCGAAACTCACTACAGTTAACATAGTGCAATTCTTAAGGGTGATAATGAGATCCCGACATAATGTGCATGAAAAGATGTCGACATGACAGAACACAACAAACAGTGGGTGGCGGGTGTATGGGAGGGTAAATGCCTCGCTATAGGCATAGTTTTCATCGTAATCGTAGTTTTCTTTATCTCCAATCTGATTCAGTATGTAACAGTAAGTCTGCCACCTCCTTAGAGGAGTAGAAGTAAGTGTACAGCGCTGAGTTTTCCTTTGAACTATTGTTAATTATTTCCTTTCCAGAGACCTAACAACTACACATATCCGATTCCAAAGATCACGAAGCCCTTACCTCCTCGACAGTCCAACTGCCGTGGAAGAAGCACGACACCAGCCCCTCCCGTTGGAGACGCCTTCTTGGTGACGACCTCATACTCTACAGCAATATCCCTGCTAATTAGCAATTTCGTGTTGATGTGAACGATCAAAGATATGCCATCATGATCACGGTTCACAAATTGCTAGAGAGTATAATCTGCACTAAAACCAATGTTTGCTCCATATCTTAACGTAGAGATGATCTCTCAGAGGATCAACACTGCCGTAGTAGATACAGAGAAACATCACTTAATGCATTATTAATATTTTTTTGGAATGACGTTAATGGCTAAGGCAGACGGAAAATAAACTCTGATTTCCCTCACCTTGTACTTGGTGTTCTCGATTACTTTATAATTCCGTTATCATACCAGTTCTCTAATACTACTGTAAAATATGGGGTTATTGTTCAAGGAACAATTGAATAAATTGTTATGGCTACAGAAACGGTACGCGAGAGCGATACTAGTTTCTAGGACAATTCAGCAATTTTATTTACTAAATTAGGTTGGCTTCCTTTTGACGACATCATTTGCGAAATTTCACAAAATCGGTTATGAGCATGGTCCAGAATACCTTTCGTTTCATATCACTTGATTGGTTTCTCCAAAACATTCTGATCAGTAAGGGGGGCTTGAAAATATTTTCTTCTCCTTCGCGCACATCGTCATTTTGAAGTGGAGTGGAAATGAAGTTCATCCACAGGACCTTTTAAGATTTTGGATTTTTTTAGAAAATACTGTCATCGTACGTCTTACATCAATTTACATATATGTAAATGATTAAAAGTGATAAAAATCTAACCTTATTTAAGTCTCTCAATGGGAAAACCTGCTGCTAGAAGCTAGCGTTTGATTCATTTTTATAGTTTTGCGTAGTGCTTCTTTGAAAGCAGAGATACAGAGGTGGTCAAAGCCAAGAAAGTAAACTGTGTGAACTGTCTTTAAATTCTTACTGCTTACTGTTCTGGTAAATTATAAGTACAATTTTGAACAGCTACTACGAAAACGTTCGTTGAATTCATATCAGGGTAACAGAGAATGCATTGCTTCAAATAATCAAAAAATTAATTACTAAAAAAAATTGACATGCGTGATCACAATCGTATCACATAGCAGCGTCTAAATTTCCCCATTTAGCCACCCCCGAAAAGCTGGGGTTTATTGGCCAACCAATCAGAAGCAATTAAGGATGTAATTTTTGCCCAAAATGGAATTAGAGGTCTGAGCAGTGTTTTTAAATTCCTCATAAAAACTCACTGCCGATTACAAAGAGACAGTGAAAAGCTTACAAGAATGAGAGATTAAGCCATTATATTTATCATGAAGCGTTGCATAGCTTCGCCTGTTGGCTGCACTCTATGAGAAATTTAATTTAACCTTAAATTGGTGTTCAAATCATCAAGGAACTCTTTACCTTAATTGAATAGTTTACCAAAGTTTTTATTGCCACGATAAGGCATTTTGGAGTTATCACCAGGATGAGTATCATAATGATAAATTTTAAGAAATCTGTTCCGAGCGATTATTCTCGAGAAAGCTAGACCACATAAAACCCGGTCAGTTGACCAGCTTTATCTCAAACTAGGCACGCGCGGTGGATATTCATTGCAATGGCTAAGTAATGTGCGAAGTTTTAAAACGCACGTGTTTGGATACTGTTTTGCCCATGAGATATTTTGTTTCACAACGTTCCCGTAACCGTCGCCGTCGAGGTTTTCTTTAAGTCACTAATACTAATGAGCTGAAGCGATGGATCTTAGCTCATCAATTAGTATTAGAGGAACACGGCCATATCGTTGCCAAAGAGCTTAAATGACCCAGGGCTTGAGCTGAGCACATTTGTGAGGCATCAAGCCACAAAGGGTAAAAAAGAACTTAGTGACCAGAGTAAAACAGCCGAGCGCGAGGCGCGATAACACGCCCTTTGTAATTCTTAGTAGCTCTTATCTCTGTAAGACTGAAAAATGCAAATAAATTTCGATTGCAAAGCTAACCATTAACTAACGTTTCCACTGCTTTAGGGGAAGTCGTCAACAAATTCATACGATAAGTTGTTTTTCAGTCCAAATGCTAATTCGCTGAAACTGATTGGTCTGCCTCGCCTTGATACTGTTTGCGGTAAATCTACTCGAGCAGCGTCCATCTAGTTCCTTTTCATCAGTTTCGATCCATCGACAAAGTAAGAGCGTTCGATTCAGTTCATTAGCAAATGAACGTAAATTTCGTACCGAAAACGTGATAAAGGTATATAAGTAACACATTAGTTTTAACGAACCAGATTGAGACATTTGATTGAGGAACAACTCTTCACAGATTACTTACTTTATTACCAACTGCCAGTCACGAGATGAAGAGCATATAAAGTCTGAAAAGATATTATTACCACCGCAATTTCAAATGATGGGGCTTTTGGCCGATGTGACTCTACCATTGTTGTTTAAAATTTCGTTCCTCTCGTTTTAACGAAACATTATTACTGAAAAGTTGTAAGCTTGCGGATTGACAACCTGTCATGTCTTAATTTTCTTAAAGCAAAAAAATTGATATATCATGAATAATAAACATAAGTTTGACCTCAAAATAAATGGAAAACAAAGAGATGCACGGTGTCTTTGGTTCATTCAAAGACGTGAGGGCATCTGTCATTATTTTGATAAAATTTAATTATCATTTTTGGGTTTACCATATTTTTTCTCCTAGGATTACAGTCATTCTTGTGCTGCAGTGGAAACGCGGTGACTCTATCAAAAGTTTTGAAAAGGTTTACGAAAAAATAAACCTTCTTTCCCCATTTTGTTTTCTCCGTGAATTCGGAAACGTAAGCCTCTTCAATTTGTGTTATTTTCAAACATTTCTAAGTAAATTTAATCCGAGTCAAAGATTCTGCGTTATTAAAAGTTTCGCGTTGAAGTGATTCGAGTTATACCCAAAAAAGTATAATTCCATTGGATATCCTTGTTTGACGCATACTTCTGTGTCACACAACCGGATAAAACAAGGTGATGACACTACAATCCTCAAAGTGAGATTGAACGAAATGCAAAACCTCAAAGGTGGTGTCTGGACTTTTCGTTGATTGGGCCGAGTATGTGGTTTGACGGCAGCTGTAACTGTGACCTTGCAAATTTTTAATATTAAGCACAAAAGCCTTTTGGGTTTTCAAAGAGAACAAAAGAAGGAGAAGCTACTGAACGCTAATATGAAATACGGTAGGTTTATCTACTCTGACTCATTTCGTAAAAGTAGCGTGTACATGGTCAGTTGATCTGTTTAAGTTTTTCGTTCAATTCTTCAGCAAACTTCTCGGTTAATGTGCTTTTCAGTGACTTGCGGTGTTATAATTAACATTTCACTTGAATCTCTATATTTAGCGTGTCCTGTCAAACAAAAGACGACACTGCTCACAAGTTTACAAAGCATTAGCTTAGCTGCCAACCTCTGATAATTTTCTTTTTCTTTCTTTTAACCAAGACAATAAGTAGTGGCCATTAACCCCTTCACTCCGAAAAGTGATCGACATGTAACTTCTTCCGATAATATCAATACATTAGTCAGCAAACAGGTAATAAGAATACTCAGTCTTATCAGACGGGTTGTTGTTATAATCTCACGCCAAATTCTTGTAACTGATTTACAAGGAAATGTGCGGCAGCCAGAGAGGAGAATTAACATCAAAATCTTAGGAGTTGAAGGGTTAAGCTCACAATTACAAACCAAGTCCATAGAGCGCGTATCCAGTCTCAGTTGTAGGGTGTCACGTGTTTCAGACTACAATTCACGGGATGAAATAGAGTATAGGTTATTTAAGAAATGCTTTATGATTCGCAGAAGACTGAATCTAAGAGAAAAAGTTAATCTTGTCCTGATTGGTTCTTGTCAAAGTTTTTTTTTATCATGTGCTTGTTTATCCAGTCACTGTGTATCGAGTATTTGTGTGTTGTCCGTGTGAAACTGCTAATCCAATAATTACACAAACTTTTGATGGAGTGTAGTTGCTGAGTCAAGCTTGGAGCGAACACTAAGGTTATTTACTTCCGGTAATAGCATGTACTTCACTTTCTAAAAATCCCATGCGTCTACATTTGCGCTTTCGCATGTGTGACCGGAAACAAATCCTGTACATTTTTTTCCTTTTTCATGGAAATAGAAATGGCTCAAGTCAACACCGCCATAATGTTGCGATTGTGGTAACAATGGAATAGACAGGTAAAATTAAATGAATTGAACCCGTATGTATGAGAGCATTAATAACTTGCAATGCGGCAGAGCCCGTCATTGAATGAAAATATTAGCTTTGCATGGGTCTAAATTCCGACAGTCACTTTATCAAGGCTGATAAGGGACAATCATTTGATCTTAATTACATCACCTGGTCTTTCCAGATGAAGTGCAAGATTATTTTATTTGCCTCACTGATGACCTTGTTTTCTTAACCAACCTCACTACCAACGATAATTACATTTAGTTCACCTCATCTGAAATAGCGGTATGTGAGCTTCAGTGGAAAGAGTCGTAGCGGAAGAGACAACGGTTGAGTTTTTACCCTCAGTCATCTGTTCTTCAGCGAGAATAATCATCCAACCGTACACGTTAGGTTATCTGAAGTTTAATTAAAAAGTTGTGCCCCTGTAATCTACAGATACACTCCAACAAAGCTCTTGAATTTAGACCATTTTGTTCTCTGGATGCGTTTCGGTATAGTTCGATAAATGTTGACTTACGATCTCATCATCTTCAATATCATTGATAAACGAATTGATCTTATCATTAATGGTTGGTTCGGATTACTAACACTGATACTTCTTTGTCGTCCAAAATCGGCGGCACGCATACATCACGTTACTGCGTCAATTATACCTCCCTCTCCCCCTCACGACCTTTATAACAAGCAGCTCTCAGATGTCTCTTTAGAAATGTCAGGTAACAATTTTCCGTAATTTATCGTGAATGTCAGTTTCATTTACTAAGTACTTATTGCGCAAATGCTCCCGATGAAACATGACTGACTCGGAATGATTCGCAAGATACGGCTACAGGTAGGCATGCTTGAGTAACGGTGTTGAACAGAGACCTCTGACTATGCTCAGAGTGTCAGACTAATGCATGATGTTATCTTAAGTTGTGGTTATAACCATCGTCTGTTACGTGGGAAACGTGCCACTTAGATTATCAAGAGAGACCAATACTGCATGCAGTAAGGCAGTATACTGAGAGTGTTGGTCGAGCAATCTTGTTGTACTTAAGTGGCTTTCCTGCATTCCTGAATAAGGACGTGGAAGTTTCTTGAATATTTATCCATCAGATCACTGCAAGGGATGTTTAATTTTGGTTTGCTGTCCCGTTGACTAGTCGAGTTACTTACTTTATCTTACGGACTGAAAAAAACAGACAAATATCGAAAGAAAATAATTATTACTGACTTAATCATCGTTGATTTGTATTAAGTAATTTCGATTCGTAAGTGTAACAAGGAGTACCGCATGAAGCGAGCTGGAAATTCAGCGAAGATCTAAGAGAAGTTGTAAACACTCAGTATACGAGAGGAAAATGAGGCTTGAGGGTTGCCCCCACGATTTTGGAGAATGTTTGAAAGCAACTGATAGACTTAGATAAGTGGAAGCAACAGTTGAATTTTTTGACGGCAGGGAAGTGCACTAAACTTTCTCTGACTCTTCTCACATTATCAGCCAAGAAAGATCCTGAATGTACTACTTGTGCTTGTCTTCAAGAGGGACGTGGTTCAATTTCAACCTTTTAACCCGTAAGAGTGATAAGCATCTAATTTCTCCCAACAATATCAGCCTGAATAGAACATAAAGGTCATGTGAATAAAGGAAATGATCACAAACTCAAGAAGACACTGATTTAAATACAAATTCACCTTTTAAATATCTCAAGAAATGCGTAGAGAACAGTATGGAGAACCTGCATGGTGATGTCGGGGTTAAATACTGTTCCTCATGCGTTGTCATGTTGGGACATCTCTCAATGTATTTAACGATTTTATTTACAATTATTACTAAATTAGAAAAATCGACAAGATTGCCGGAAGTCGGTAGAAAAAGGAAAAGAAAGATCTTGCGATAGATCGCCTTATCCCAGAAATTCAGGCTGCTATAATTTGTGGGTCTCTGGTTGGTATACCTCAATGTGTATAATTAGGAGTTCATCACACGTGCAATTATCTTTGCAGGGGGTCAAGTGGAGTCATGATACAAAAATATGAACTTTCTAGCTATCTTCTAAACCACGAGTGAGTAGAAGGCGGGTCCACTAACCCCAACCACCCACCCACCCACCCCCGACGAGGGCATTTTGAAAGTTTCTAGAGTATCCATTAGCTGAGAAGTTTAAAAAGGGTTGTGACATAAAAGATAAAATTGATAAAATCTGTCACTCTGCATATGAAACGTAAGAGACGTGTATCCTACTAAAGCAAACTGATTAAGATGTCATCAAAGCATTTTACATTGCGACAGGAAATAAAACAACGACAAGAAAATTAGACGCGTAAGACCAAACAACATATAATTTGTCATTTTACCAAACTGCAACAGAAGATAGATTTTAGGACATAACAGTGAGATAAAAAAAAAAAATCGGGAAATTATTAATGCTACTGATAGTAACATGTCTTTGGGATTTCCTTTTCATATTCGAGATTCATATTTGCATCGGAACATAAAAGTGGTAGATAAAAGTGAGTTTGAAGTCGGTTCGTGTTGTCCATTTACATGAGTTAATGTCAGTTGACACTTAGGCTTTTATTGTGGCGCACACGGAGCTTTGTTTTAACCACACTTTTAATTTATTTGCTTTTGTCTCAATTTCAATGAAAACTTTGCACTTTGCTTATTTGCTCACTTCAATTATCTTTTTCAGAACCGGTGTCTAAAAGCTAATTGTCGCTGAATCAGAACAGTATATCTTTTATACTGAAACTCTCCCATTTTTCCAACTATGCGTGTTATTGTTATCAGACACGAGTCTCCATTTCCATCGGAACTGTTAACCGCAGCTATTTCTCTATGTCATCTTTATGATTTTATGTTTTGGTCGCCACTGTCTCCAAATGCAATTTTAAGCCTCGAGCGACAAAATCTTCCAAATATTAATCTTATGGTACCTTTCAAGGTTTAACGAGGATTAAAATGCATTGGCGGAAATATGAAAGCCCAAATGCGCAGCATATTTCATCAAAACACTGTAATCTTACTTTGCGGTTTGTCCGCAATTTCGGTTTAGTCCTTGCTTCATCCAGTGTTAAAGGTTCTCCGCCGGTGTGAAGATTGTGATAAGGGGCATACTATTGACAGAAAACTTGTAGAATTCGCTAACAGAGAAAGCGACATTCATCTTGAGTAATATTCTGTCTGCAACTTATTAGTTGACATCATCAGTTCTGGAAGAAGCCGTTGTTTGCAACATCGACATAATAGGAAACTTTCCAAAATAAAAAATACACCTGCCAGAGGCAATTCACTTTATCTTTTAAATAATTGATGTTTTTCAATTTTGCTTAATGCTTTCGCGGCCATAGAGATCTTAAAGACAATTAAACATCTAGAGTGAACAATGAATGGGTGAAAAACGGAGTATGTAATTGATTTGAAGAACGTAACTGCTCAGTCCATCAAGCATGAAAAAAAAAAATGATCTATTCGGTTTTCATATGCTAATGTAGATTCATTCTCATTTCAGCCGCTGTTATTTTCATGGTTTGAAAAATGGTAGATATTTAGAACAAAAACTGTTCTTCGTTTGCTAATGTGACTCGTGTTTATGTTTAGCAGTTACGTCATTTCCGTATAAATTACTTCCGTTTTGAGTGAAGAAAGCCGCTGCACGAGCTGACCATCGGTTCCAAAAGTGCGAACGTGTGTCAGAGAAATGTAGGAGGTTGGACATGGTGTGGGTAAATTGGATTTTCGTGCTCGACTTGGTTACATTTCTCTTCAGTTTATCAGCAGGAGATAGAGGTAAGACAACTTAATTTCGACTATTAGATATAATCACGAGAGTCAAAGGCGATTGCCGTTACGCGATTTAAAAGACGACGAAATAGTTCCCAAGTAGATTCTGTCAAGGGGTGCGTGTCTTAGTAGGATTTAGCTGTTCACGGGATGATGTATAAATAAACCGCTCAGTGGATGACCTCCTTAGGAGTTCTTTGTCGCTGGGTGCGTGACTTGAATCAGCTCTGAGAAGATCTGTCATCTAAGCGTTTAGGAATATTGACTGCTATGAAACGTAATCTAAGCAGCGATGATGCGTTGCGGTTGTTCTTCCCGATGGGTGGTTACTGCTGTTTACTTCAGCTACAAAAACACGGATAAGGCAAGGCTATCATTCCAGTTAAAGAAGTAGGCAAAAAAAGTGATAAAAGCGTTCCCATTAAATACAGAAATCAAAGAAGGGAAGGGACATTTGATGAACTGCCCGCGAAGATGTGTACATCTGTTAGTCACAGATTGCGTTCTATTGTAGTACTGATTTGTAATTTCTCTTTCACCGTGTGAATTTAGCGTGTCTCAATGAAATTATGTAATGTGAATTTTTTACTATTTGTTTGTCAAGTGCGGCCGCTTTATTTTTGAAGCGTACGCCCAAAATTCAAATGATTTGGAAACCTGACACTCCGCTCGGTAGAGCCATAGAAGTGGAGAATGTATTCCTTCCATGTTCAAGTGTTTGCCCAGCAATTAGCACCTTTAAAATCCGACTTCCGATCGTAGGATTGTGTTCTTACGTTACTTTCGTAACCTCCCTGCCCAAGAAACGTGAATGTTGCTTTGATTCTCTTTACTCAAATAATGTATCGGTCTCCGTACGAATTTTGATAACCATAACTAGACCTTTTATGTCGTTAATGGCTCGCAGCTTGAGATTATTCTGCTAATGATCTCACTCCTAAATGTTTCGAACACAATTTGAAAAAGGCATCTTCGTAATAAGGATTTTTTTACTTTCGAGGAAAACGCTACGTTTCTTTACATTTCTAATGTTGCTTTATCATAACCGTAATTGGGAAACTGATGACTGCGACGGAAACATGTCTGTCACAGTGACAAATCGGGAAGATATTTGCATACAAGCTGCAATCGAAACATAAATGTTTTGCATGATGAAAAGAGTGCAATTTCGTAAACAACACTTAAAGAAAGCTTCGGATTTAACAGCTGTTGTCAAAATATGTTTACATGAATTGACATTTAAGATCTAACTTCGTTCGTTGTTTGATTAAAATGTTTTTGAAGAGTTTTAAGACCGCGGCGTGGAGCAGATTAATCCGTGCGTGAAAAAGGACAAGAATTTTGTAATAGGAAATAGCGCCCTTCGCAAACAGAAAACGAAATCAATATTGTATGCAAATACATGTCAGGAAGCATTATCTTTTTTAAGCCTTGGGGCGAAAAAGTATTATTTCCTTTATCAAATTCGGTGCTTCTAAGTTAGGTCTTAGTTAAGAGTAAATACTTTTAGTGGAGTAAAGTAATTTAATTACCACCCGAATGAAATTAATTAAAATTGTACACCACTGATAGCGGTCTAAATAAATTTAATTCGAGTGTGGCTGGCTTTTCAGATCAGATTCTTTGAAATCTTATTTTATGAGATTTTCCTTAGAGGCAAGACTGATCATGATATTTAATATCCAAAATTCCATATATTGGAAGCAGCGGGTTGATTAGTGAGACGCGGTGAAATTTTGAAAAATTTAAGACTACCATGGCTTGAGTTCAACATTACGAAACGTATGCTCAAGTGGAAGTTATCATTTCTTTCCTGTTTAACACCAATTTAGCTTCTAACTTCATTGGCTTGACATAAATATTTGAGGCTCCTAACTTATGTAGAAAATATGCTTCTCATCAATAGACCTTGATTTGTGTACATGCCAGAACATCAGGGAAAAACAACTTTCAAAGGCGACTTTCATCCTTTGATTTCTCCAAGTTATAATTTAACGCAAAACAGAGTGTAATCTGTAATCTGATGTCATGGCTAGCTCGAGAAAAGGTTTCATGTCTTAATTTGCTTGAAAAAGTGACCTATTTGGCAACTTGTGGTTATTTAGCATGTTGTAACATTTTCATTTAGAAGTGTTCTAATCTTAAAGTTAAAATGAGATAGAAATCTATGTTCATCATTTTATCTAAAGAACAATGCCTCTTTCTCCCAAGGTGTTGCTTTGCTAAGCGTAAGACTGATCCTGTGTGTAAAGTCAAAATGATCAGACAGAAATCTGTTCCATCGTAAATTGCCTCATTCTCCCACATTTTTGCAGTTTTGAGCCTAGAAATCTTGCAAGTTAAGTCAAAGAGAGATAGAAACCTTTGCTCCATCATTTTCCTTTAGGGAAAACATCCATGTCTCTCGAGCTTTGGCAATTTTAAGGTTAGAGGTCTTCTGTGCTAAGTCAAAATGAGATAGAGTTCTGTGTTCAATCATTTTATTTTACTAAAAATCGCCTCATTCTCTCAAGTTTCCCTGGTCTTTGGATCTTGAGTGAACCACCAAAAATAATTTGCACCCAGATTCATTTTATAATTTTGCAGACGAGTAGTGTGTGGTTTATTTGCTTAATATAAGAATGCGAAGTGTTGTTTTTGCTTTTTTTTTTTTCACTTTTTTTATGTTTCCCCTTTTTTCCTTCCACTCAAATTTCCTTTAATTTTAGGTTACCTTAGTAGGAACATGGAAAAAACATGAGTCGGGGCTTTATATGAGTATTCACCTTGCAAGGGATATTAAATTATTCCATTAGGCTGAAAAAAACTGAATAAGAATGATCAGCCATAGGTGTTGAGTTAGAGGTGTTTTTTTGTTTGGTTCAATCTTAGATGGTTGTTTGGCCAAAAAGTCGCCTGCTTGAAAATCATGTTAACAGAAGATCTTTTGAATTGGATGCACCATATGGAAAGCTCTTTTTCAAAACTAAGATTGTTTTTTTGTTTTTGTTTTGGTTTTTGCTGACTTGCCATACATGTATTAAATTATGGATATTACTTGTTATGTAAATATTCAAACAAGCTGCAAATATGTCCTAATGTGCAATGTAAACAAACAACATCTCTGAAATATTTTCAAGGATGTTGAAGGATATTGAATTATACAAATTTTTGAAATTACAGGTATTTCCTTTGGTTTGCCCAACATTTAAAATGATCTACTTTTGTATATTTGAAGTTTAATCACTCAAAATTGTCTTTTTCAAATTTACTCAAATTCAAACAGCCAACTTGTTAGAAAGACCTAAACCAGGTGGTGGTGCAGAGAGCTGGTATTGGAAAACATCTCATGGCCATGGGTCAGGGGTAAGTTGCAAAGCAAACATAATTTCATCTTCCTATATGTTGCATTCCCTCACTGTTATTCTACTCAAAGCAAAGCCAGGAATTTGTAAGGATCTACTTTGCAGTTTCTTCGAGCTCACAGGAATTCCAAGTTTTTCTCCACACTAGTCCAGCTTGGGATAGGTTCTTGGGAAACTAAGAAATGTTGAAACAGAAAAAAAACACTTAAAATATCCAGAAAATTACTGGATTGAGGGATCTATATAGATGTTTTGAAATGCATCAAGAAAAGGTTGAGATATTAAGAACAAACAGAAATTTTAGCCATTACACTTTCCTAATATACACAAATTTCCTTGGAGATTTACAAACAATGCATCTAAGTTGATGCCTCTTGTGCACTTACATACTTCATTAAATATATGGCTCTCTGTGTGTGTAATGGAGAAAAACAGAGCTATCAAGACTGTTGTCTGTCTGCCTTCTGATGTGACACATTTATATTAAAGTTTTCTTTAGTAACACAATTTTATGACATATTTTTCTCTCCATTCAACACTTTTAAAAACTACTAATACTTTTGAAAGTATTAGTAGCTCACATAAACCCTTTAACCACCAGAAGTGATTGACATGTAACTTCTCCCCATAATATCCATACATTTTTCAGCAAATAGGTTGTGAGAAGTCTCAACTTATCAGGTTGCAAGCTTAGTAGCTAACTAGTTCTGTAGTTTATAAGTAAATGTGTTGCAGTCATAGGGAAGAATTGACAATCACTTGTAGGGAGTTGAAGGGTTAACCTCTCAGAAGTTTAGTTTAAGTCAAGTTGACTACTTCAGTTAAAAGTTCAGTGAATTGTATCATCATTATTTTTTTCTATTACAATCAAACCTACCCAAAGACTACCATTGAGGCTAAATCTGATTTATCAATCAAGATTTACCAGTCATATGTAAGGTAGCCAAGGATTATTTGATGGTAGTGTTTGCTTCTGATTTTTATTTTTTTCCTTTCACCTTGTTAAAAGTCTAAAATGGTTGTTTTGGTGTTTCACAGTGGACTGCTACAACCTCTGATGATGCTGCATCGCGTATATATACAGTTTGTGACATAGGTGTTTGGCAACCAAGTAACTGGCTATGGAGTGATGCTATAAGTCACAATAATCTGAAGAGAATCGACTTAGCTATCAATTACACAATCATGAGATGTACTTCGTTTTCTGATGAGAGACTAAACTGCTCTGAACAATTTGATGTTTATGGATACCAATCAAATGAGAACTTAAATGAGTCAAATACTGATCCAAGAAATGGATTTTACAACAAAATGAAAGTAATATCCATGCCAAATAACACCTCAAGCAAGTCTGAAAGGGTACAAGGAGTTGCAAAGCTGTCACTTTTCATCAAAGAAAGAACTTCAAAGGTATTCTTTGCTATTCATGACCAAGGAGCTTGTCTTGTATTGCATTCGTTTCTGGTGACATACAATGTTTGTCCAGAGCGGACTTTACCAACAAGTCTTGTATTGCTACCACAAACAATAGCTCCGGTGAATGAATCTGAAATAGTCAAAATACCAGGGGAATGTGTGGCAAATTCACAACGTACAGCACCAGTGTTGAGTGCCATCTGTAGCAGCAGTGGTGAATGGACTCAGAGTGATGATGCTGCAGGAAAATGTCTGTGTTTACCAGGATGGGAGAAAATTGATACGGAATGTCAAGGTATGTTTCCAAATTACAATATTGGAGTTTAGGTTACAGAACTGACAGTGAATTGTGCCATGCAAGAATACTGGGTACAGTAAAGGGGAGGGGGGTGGTTATGTTTGAGAGCAATAAGGAGGGAGTTAAAGCATGTTATAAAAATGTATCCTGTATTACAAGCCTAATAGACAGTATGTGAGTATCTCTGGGGTGCAGGGTTTTCACAAAATCAGCATTTGCCATCTATGAATTATTGGAACTTTTGTTCTGCAGTGACAGTTCTCTTTAGTGACGTTGTTTACAGTTGTAATTTGGCGAAGGCACCCTGCTGAGATTTTTTAGGCCCATTCATTTCAATTATTTGATAGGTTAAGTGACATTGGCATATCAATAAAAACCTAAAGTAATGAAATTTGTATGATAAAAGAAATAATCTGGCCCTTAGATTGTTAAACAAAAGCACAGACATTGGATAGCAATGATTGTTATCCATAGCATGCAAAAGATTCAATAAGCCTCACTCCAAGTAGACAAAACATAATAACTCTCATCATTTGGTGTTTGGTAGAAATCTCAACCAAATACTCATCAGCCCACTACTACATTGTTCAGGGGTTTTTTCAGGTTCTTCTTTGCCAGAACCAACACACATTACTGAAATCTTGTACATAACAAGTCACAATTAAGATGGACATGGCTTCCTCTTGCAATATCATTGGTTTTATTGTATTGGCAAGGTTTGACAGACGTGTCTGTCTGGGTGTTTCAAAACTGCCCTCATTACTTTTTTATCGTTATTGCTTTTATCGTAAACAAGTCTGTCACACACGGAATATCTATTTGTAAAGAATCTCCTCTATTTCCTTTCGTTAAAACTAAAATTTTTTTCTTTACTTGATTCTGGGCGTTAAAGGACATTGTTTCTTTTGAGGCGCTTATAAAAGTATCTCAAGCTACCATTAATGTAAAGAAACAAACGATCAGAATGACTGATAAGTGGTCAGTGTGGTGATGTTATCTGTGATCGTCGTCAGTCAGTAATATAGCAAATGTCAGGAATGACAGATCTGAATGCTTTGATAGAACGATCTTGAAGATAAAAGCATACCTTATCAAACTGCAAGCTTGTGAAGAAGCATTGTTAGACAACAATGGATTCCTTTGTTTGCAGTTAACTTCAGCCAATGCTAAGGGTCAAACACGATTCCAGTAGTTATGATTAGTTTGCCGCCATGTTGGCAAACAACGCGGCATCTTTGTCAATGGGGAACGTTCAACCGACGTGATTAAATATGGGAAAAATCCGTTCATAAATTATCGTAGTTTTTTAAGATTCGTGAAAATTTCTGACGGTCTGCACTGAAATTTACCGAAGGGTGTTATTTTGCATACCGAAGCCAACATGCTGAGCTGCGGCAGATACATGTAGACACACCACGTGACAGCTGACGCAATTCGAGAGGACTGTTTGTATACAGTCAGTTCTCTGGCTAACAAATTCTTTTACTGAGATCATCGTCCACAGCGCGGGCGAGATTGACGAGTAGCGAGAAATTTAATGAACGCGAATGCAAATTAAGGCCGTTCACGCTTAGGCTGTTCTAGACTTTCAACCGGGCACTAGAGTAGCGCAGATCAAGAAAAGAGAGAGTTTAGGGACCAGTCGCGTTTCTATTGGATCATATCTTAGATTTGGGTAGGCTGTGTACCTGGTGATTTCATGCGACTTTCGCGCGGCGGAGCAATTCTGCACCTTCTTTTTCACCCCGTGTTTTCGCTATGTTAGTTCCTCTGAAGGTCTATGTACACTTTAGGCAGGGGAAATTTCAACGATCAAAAATTTGTTTTGGCTCTTAATAAACCCAGGTTGTTAGCAGAGAATAGGGGTTTTTGGTGGGTCTATTGTTAGAGTTCAGTTACCAGTTATAATCATATGTTATTGTCACTCTCAGCTTGTCCACTGGGATACTTTAAAGACAAGACCGGAAACACCAAATGCTCAAAATGCCCGCTAAACAGCAACTCGGACAGATATCGGAAACGCTGCAAATGCTCCAGAGGGTTTTTTCGCGCATCATGGCAAAGTGTGTCAGACAATTGTACAGGTCAGTAGTGCCACCGGCAAGTTTCAGGTTTTTGCCGTTGGTAATCATATTTTTCATACTCATGCTCGTTGGCATATCTTGTCGTCCTTACAGCTCCTCCTTCTGCACCAAAACATCTGCGAAGCCTTTTCACCAACCAAACAACAGTGAGTTTAGTATGGTCACATCCGCGGCACCTTGGTGGTCGAACTGACTTGTATTATGAGATAGAATGTAAAATTTTGTGTCGGAAAGATCAACGAAGCTGCAGTCAGGATTGTGGATCACAAGTTCTTTTCCTGCCTAGACAGAACAACCTATCGCACACCAAGGTGATTTTGACGAACTTGATATCACGGACAGTTTACAGATTTAAGGTACATGCAAAGAATGGAGTCAGTGAAAAGGCTGAGATGGACGGATTCCCTTCCCGGTTTGCCAAGTTAGACGTCACTACACTTGAGTCGGGTCAGTTTGGTTCATCTCCTTTAAGTGAAGCTTTATGATTAAGTGAAGTTCTATGATTATTCCGCTTAATACCACAAGTCCATTTTCCATCTCAGGGTGTTTAGATAAGCTTTGTTTTGCCCGTTGTTTTTATCTCAGTTCCTGACCAGCCTGTGGTGACAGTGCAAAGGATCGACAGTACTTCGGTGAATGTGTCGTGGACTCTTAAAACTGGCCATGAAGACATCCATTTCTTCCTTGTACGATACCGCAAAATATTAGACAGCGCAGACAATTATCACACTATCAACACAACGAAAACCTACATCAAAATAACTGGATTGGAACCTGACGTGAAATATGAAATCGTGGTGAGTTAGATGTGATCAGTTAATGCCCTTTTTTTACAATACAAATCGCTGTGAATTTAAATTTTCCCAATAATACAACTTATTCACTCATTTTTTGCAACGCCGCCCAGTCATGCTCAGAGGCTATTTACGAGAATGATTTTTATTTAGTAGTACTCTATGTTGATAATTTCAAAGTATTGTAGCAGTATCTTTCTTATGAATCATTGAATTCTGTTGTTTCCCGAATTTTAGGTCGTTGCAAAGAACAGCAGGGGCTTCGGGCCAAGTAGCCAGGCAGTGAAAACGCCACAAGACTACCCCGGTAAACTTTTCTCGCAAGTGCTTTAACTAATGTATAGTATAAATCCTTACAGGAGGGTTTCGATGGGGTTAACCGTTAGCCGTAAAGCGGCCCAAAAATTAGTCGTCAGGAACAAAAATTGAAAAATTTTAACCGTTAGTCGAGAAAAAAAGTTAACTGTAAAAAAAATTCTGGCGAAAACAATGGAATGATATTAACCGTCAGCCGTAAAAGCCATCACCCCTTTGGGATCTGGTTCAGTATAAATTAAAGTAAAAGCTGGTTAAGAGAGAGATCTTCTATCATCCCGACCTATATTCTCACCTGACTGTGATGATGACTTACTGTACGCTCAGGATGTCGAGACTTAGGTGCTGTAATAACCGAAAACAGTTCTTTTCAACCTCAGGTTTTACGAAGAGTGGATAACACTATCCATTGAAATAGTCCCAGCCAGTGGATAGCGATTTACACAACGCGTGAACACTTATCCGCTGAATAGGGTTTACCAAGAGAATATGATCTTTTGCGTTTACCCATTGGATATAACGTCATCCGCCCTTTGATTACCTGGTCCCATGGTCCTTTATTTTCTATCAGCTTTTGACCTCTGGTTAGTATCATATGTGTTATTGTATTTATTCGCTGATTATTTAATTTAATTTGTCAGTTCCCAGTTTGGATGAAGACAAGAAACTTTGGTTCATGATCGCTGCTGCCGTCGGAGGAATTTTCCTTATTCTGATCATAACTGCTATAGTCTCGTTCGCTCTATCAAAAAAAAGGTATTATTCTTGATCTCATTTGTTTGTATGTGGATAACCAGTTATTTCAAGTTTCAAGAACAAGGGGAGAAAACTGACTGAAATAAATAACATGCTTGATGTGATGATTTCTTCCAGGAAATCTCGGAAACGAGCGAATACATTTGAAGGTCAGTGGAATGGGCATTTCGCCGACGACTTAGAATTTACCCTTCGATTGCTCACATCCCAAATTCTGATTTGTTATTTATTAAGTTATTTTTATTTTAGCTATCTACTAAATTGATTTTCTCGTCAGTAACAAAGTACTTTTACTCTTTTCGTTTTCAGCCACTGAACTCTTTTCTAACCATGGGCTCAGTCAGTATGTGGATCCCAGTAATTATGGTGATCTCATGGACGCTGTCAAAACATTTGCCGCCGAGATCGACGGATGTCAAATTAAACTGGAAACTAGAGTTGGCGATGGTTAGTATCTATTAATAATGACTTTTCTCTCTTGTTAAGAAAACAAATGTTTTTCTTTATCCTGAACTTCTAACTTAACATTTAACTAATCGTCAGGTGAATTTGCTGAAGTTTTCAAAGGATTGTATGAAGATTGTTCGGTTGCTGTTAAAATCCTCAAGGTGCGTGTGCCATTCCGATTTTTTTTATTTTCCTTTCCATGTCGTTAGGATGGAAGGTGTTACCTTGCCTATTAGTTCTAATCTTTCTGGTTACAGTTGGATCTGAATTTCAATCGATCACAGCCATGTTATACGTGCTTCCAAGTACAATTAAATTCAAATGTCGTGTCTTGTAACATTTCAATCGTTTAACAGTTTTCTATGATCTTAACACTAAGGAAGAAACAATCAACGGTTTTCTTTCCTTTGTTTTATCAGCAAGGATCGAGTTCCAAGACCAGAGACGACTTTATTTCTGAGGCGTCCATCATGGGTCAGTTTAAACATCCAAATGTCATCAAGCTGACTGGCGTGGTCACAGTCAGTAAGTGAACTTCATTTAAGATATACACGATGTTAGGCGACAGTACAGTTAGTAAGTGCCTCGCTTAACAGGTGTATTTTTTCGGTTTGTCCTGTCAGGTAGACCCATGATGATTGTAACAGAGTTTATGGAAGGAGGATCACTTGATAAGTTTCTTAAGGTAAAGGAATAACGATGCTCTTGAACAGACCAGGCTTTAACTCTGAATTAGAACAAATACAGCGAAGATTGACGGCTATTGTTCAATTCCATTTGAGCCGAACAATCAAATTCCACTTTTCTTTGGAATCTCAACAGTTGACCAAACAAACGGAGTGCCTTGTCTCAGTGCTTCAAAGTATGCCAGCGTTGCAGCTCAAGTTATGAGTATTACTTCTTTCTTCCTTTCTTAGGATCACGAAGGTAAACTTACGCCCCTTCAGCTCATTGGTATGGTTCGTGGAGTCGCCTCAGGAATGTTGTACCTTTCGTCCATGAATTTCATACACAGGGTAAGTATTGCACCGGGAAACAGATCAAACTACGCCGCAAGTTCTTATAACAGGAAAATAACCATACATTAAGTATAATTTATTTGGTTTCTTTACTTGAATGGGTTAGGGTAAGGGGTTAGCGGGTATCTAACGACACATAACTGTGGGTATGTATACCTCTACTAAGAGCTGGACAGAACGGTCAATCAAATCAGACAGGGTATAACGCGCGATACACTTCCTCTAAACCAGAACCATGTGATGTTTTATGTCAGTTAAAGTTGTGCAGAAATCAATGCTTGGGTTGTAAATACAGAGTACATATATTTAGAGTCAAAGCTCGAGGCCTGTTTATTATATTTGTGCAATCCTGATTTCAGGACCTTGCTGCTCGCAATGTTTTGGTTGGAGAGAACATGGCGTGTAAGGTGTCTGACTTCGGATTGTCCAGAGAGTTGGAGGATAACCCAGATTCAGAGTATCAAACGCAGGTAATTCACCAGTTAAATTTTTACGCAGACACCTAAGTGGATGTGATTATTCGAAAATTGTTTCACAACCCTTTAACTGTAGCGTAAGTAGAGAGATGACGCACGATTTTGCCTTGTCACAGGGAGGAAAAATTCCAATTCGTTGGACAGCACCAGAAGCGATAAGATATCGAAAATTTAGCTCTTCTAGTGACGTATGGAGCTATGGAATAGTTTTGTGGGAGGCCATGTCGTTTGGCGAGAGGCCGTACTGGGACTGGAATAACTTTGAGGTAATGTAGTATTTTTATACCAACTTAGATGTGTATGGTCAGGTACGTTTGCAAAAGGAATTCAAAGTTTTACGAAGTTTATTACTAAGCAGATTAGGTAATATATCTCAAAGAGAAAATTAGAGTGAAACTGGTTTGAAATTTTTTAAACAAGAAAAAGGTGAATCCACCGCTAGCCACTAGACGACCAGTGAGTTACACCAAGAATTTCGCTTTGCTCTAGTAGGTCGGAAAAGGGATGGTAGTCGTCTGGGTTTTCTCAGTGTGTTAGTTTGTTGTTGTTTTTGTTGTTGTTGTTGTTTTCTTTTGTTTTTCTTTTTGTTTAAGACGTTCAGTCCCTTTGTTTAGCGCCTTACTTTGTGAAAAAATTTGTGTCGAAAACCTTTTTCAGCCCCCCAAAAAATAATAATCGCACAATACACTATGACCCCTTGCGGAGGCAGCCACATGCATAAAAAAAAGACAGTCCTAGTAAATGTTTTGCATGGAAATACATGGCATCCGAAACGAAAGGTCAACAATCAAACTGAGCTACTCGTGTTTTACTGTTTTAGGTTATGGACAGAGTAGAAGGAGGCTACAGGCTGCCAGCTCCTATGGTATGCACGATACTTATGTCATGTTCATTTGATTTACGTTTAGGAAAGGGGGAAGGGTTACAGAGGTTAAGTGTGTGTATGTACTATAAGATTTGATTATCAGAGCTATGAAAGATAACCTCTTATGCTTGATTGAAGAAGAAAAAGAAACACCCTGCTCGGGGTGATCAACTGTTTGTTTGCTCCTCACTTGCGTTTTATCTTTAATGACGTGTAAGATGATTTGTTCTTTTTTGTATAGAAATGTCCCAAAATTGTCCACGCAATCATGATGGACTGCTGGGATAAGGACAGGTTCAGACGACCAAACTTTGAAGAAATTGTGAAACGACTGGACGAGCTGATCCGCGCACCGGAAATGTTAAATGACAATCTTGTTTGCTATACAAGGTAACACTTAACACATGTACTTCACTAATTTAAACTTACCTGTGGAGGGAGGGGTGATAAAACCTGGCCTAGATGTCGTGGTAGGCTGTACCTATTTTATGGCTTTGATTACACTAAGTCTATTTTTTGGAAGGAGGGTGGGGGGAGGGGTGGGGCGGGGCGTACGGAGCTATTTAGTCACGTACGATCATAAGAAGGATTTTGTGTGGCTTTGTAAAAGTGCTCTAAAGCGAATATTTTGTGTTGTTTGCTGTAAGGTTTAGAATGATGGGTACTTGTCCGTTGTAAAAGATTGGCTTTTTCCATCAAATTTTCATGGCTACGTAAACTAACTTTCGCCAAAATTTATTTTAACTCCTAGTGCCGTGTCAGCAGACTTCACCGAACTTAGGACAATCCAAGAATGGCTGATCAGTATTCATATGGGACAGTATACTGCTAACTTCAAGACTGCGGGCTACAATGACTTAACACAAGTAACTCACCTTAAGGACGGCGAACTCAAAGACATTGGAGTGACCTTGATAGGTCATAGGAACAAAATTTATAAGAGTATAAAGTCTATGAGGAAGCATTTTGACAACTTACCGGAGCCGGTGTAGAATACTTCGTAATGTCGAAAATCCCTTCCGAAGAGTCGAGAAGCTGGAACTGTAGACCTTACCGTGGATGTCGAAAGTGGATCACTCTGTATGTCGTGATGCAAGGCGCCACAGCAACCCACACTCTATGGGTCCACGATTCTCGAAGGGCGCGAGAGCTAGTCCATTATTTAAAAAGATCTAGTTGTAAACTGATTTTAAAGTATTTCGAATTACTTGTGGTAACTAAGCACCTTATTTTATTCGACTTACTCAGGCAGTCCCCTCAATACTTGCGTAGAAGATTTTTTCCAAGGTAACTCGCGAGTATAGTATTTCAGGAAATCAGTGGATATTCCACTCTAAATTCCTATTTTCTCTTGATTTCATCCACATTTATCCGAGGACAATAGAAAATGGTTAATTGGAGATAGAGAAAGAAAAATGTTAAAAGTGCACGGTATTGAAGGAGTGACCTGAAACTTTGTCTCCAGCTGTTTAGACTGTTTTTGTTTCATAGTGGCAACAAGAAGGGCGTCTTTTAGCGAGCGCTTTTAAGCGTCTTGTTTTGGGTTTTTTTTTTCTCTTTTTGGTTGATTAATCGATCATTCCGCCCTTGAAAGGGAAATTGAGATGTACTGCCATAATTCAGATCAATCTTCTGATCTGTCAGCTCGTTTTTTGTTGGTGTGTTAATTTTCATTTTCTTGAATGGCTGATTGACTCCTACGCGGCTGACTTTTATTGAGACCTTAAAATAGCATTTGTATTGTAAGGATTTTAAAAATGCTTATTACATGCTTGGCTAGGGAAATGGAGCAGCTTTGTAGAAAGCTCTAGAACAATGAACATGAGAGATATTTCGTTGTGTAGTTTTACTATCAGACATACTTTAATTTTATTTGTTATATTACTCGTTGTTTTTGACATCGTCAAGTAGCGTATAGGTTAAAGTATTCAAGGCCGTTTAGTTAAACGCAGTTTGGACGTTGTACAGCAAAGCTGTGTCCTATATCATCTTCAATTTAGCCCAACCCTTATCTGATGGGAATGTTGAATTTTGTGAGCATCGTCAAGAAGCTTATAATTAACATTAAGTATTCAAGGCCGTTTAGCTAAACGCAGTTTGGACGTTGTACAGCAAAGCTGTGTCCTATATCATCTTCAATTTAGCCCAACCCTCATCAGAGGGGAATGTTGAATTTTGTGAGCAGCGTCAAGAAGCTTATAATTAACATCAACCCTATCGAAGAAAACTGAAGTTCATTGACTATTCCAAGTGGCGACCGAAGTAAGACCTCAGCATTAGAGTAAACGGCCCTTTCTATTTAGTTTTACATAGAGATTACTTAAAATTCTAACCAGTGCACCTGAGAGATGATTAGTTTATTAGTTCAAGTAATGTTGTTTTACACGAGCGTATTACTAGTATCGTTTGCTTTGCCCTATATTTATACGAAACATGCATCCATAAGATGAAATGGCTATTTGAAATGTTTTGTTGTCGAAATTTCGGTGTCTAATATGTGAAGAGATTTTTAAAGAAAACTATATATTTTAGAGTTGTTCAAGTGTTGAAGTCCTAAGTTATTTTTTTTAGTGACAATTCCCACACTTGTGGAAATAAAAGAGTTCATTACACCTCGTTTTGCCAATTCTGATTGTTCAACAGACAGCGTACACGGATATTTTGCAAGTTAATCTCGTAATATTTTAAGAGTGGAGAGCAAAATACCATTTCTTACTTAATGGAAAACCATTATGTAAGGTATTTATTTTCCTCTACCGGATAGTATGTTATTTTGGCTTTTTTCTCCTTACAAATTCTGTTTTCTCAATGAAGTAGTCGAGCACAAAGGCCCCAGACTAAAAAAAAATCATGTTGCTCAAGTTTTACCAATAATTGTTCTATTGACGATGTGCGCTCTGTTGTTCACTTGTCAAACCGGGCCACTCAAGTTATCTACGGTCTCGCATTTTGCGCGATCTCTTCTCCTTATTTAGTACATAACAATAGTGGATTAATATTATCTTAAAATTTTATTTAGGTGCTCTAAGTTCAGACAGTCTGTTGCGAACATTGCTTGGCAGATGATTAGTCCTTCGCTTCCTCCTCCAGACCTGTTATCTACATTCCACTCTTTTAAGGGTGGAATGTAGATAACAGGTCTGGCCTTCAAAGCTCTTCAGTTTATTTTCTCCTTGTTTGTGGGATGCGAGCCTAGTTCAAAACAATCGGACTGAGAACACAACGTTTTAAAACATGCATTACTTTTTTTTTTCTACATTGGTCAGCACAATTTTGCATTTCCTTTTAACTTTTTCATATGTTTCTTCTTAAGTCTGTTATTTCAAATAAATTTTCCCTGTAGTACTCAAAAATAAATCAACTTTTGAAATACGACTGTCACAATGTGTTAATGGTGTTGTGCACACACTGAGTAGAGTAACCGGCGCTAAATATGAGTCGAACAAAACTCAATCAGCTTGTCACAAATGCTGTATCAAAATACTTAAGCACCGCTTAACACCACGCACTTCAATGTACTTTCAGAGAGGAAGTATATTATCTTGGCATGTATCATCAACCGCCTACCACTTTCAATTAATGATACAAGGGAGAACAAAAGCAGCAGTCGAACACAAATTCATGATGTCACGATATTTGAGCTGATATTAAACCTACACACGTGTATCATTTCACCTGACGCACCTCCTCGCTTCCATTACGTTAACGCCTGAAACTCAAACAACTCAGAACAACAACCACATTTTGCTTCCTGAATGCAAACCAGTGCTTTAAAAACTGTCCAACCGCGCCTATAAAGGCGTTACGTGCAGCGCTCCTCAAATCCAAATAGGTATTCTTAAAATAGTGCTCTCTATCGAGGAGTTTCGTAATAGATCTTATCTCTCACAGCTTGCATCGCCAAGTGAAAACCACACGACATATCGAAGAGCGAATAAACATCGGTCAGTGAGGTAAATTGTGTGGTTAGCGAAAACTAGCATTGGAGGAGATGAAAAGGCGATGAGTAGGAGAGATCCACAGTGGGATTGTCTCTAAACAGACTCAAGGTCATACTGGAGAGAAGAAAGCAAATCAATTTTCATCGTGTTTTAAGAGTTCTTCCTCGTCAGGTAAGTTTGACTACTGCGTCAAGTAGGGAGGGCCAGTCGTTTCTTAAGGAAGATATCGCCTCTAGCAACCAGAATTGCCACGAATGTTTGAGTATTGTGCAACACTAAACATAGCTTGGATAGAATTTGCTAGTAGTAACAATTTGTTCATGTAGAGATTTCATAACGGTTACACTTTCAACAAAAATAGGAAATAAAACAAAGAGAAACGAAAACGAAGATCAGAATCTTAATTCTGAAATAAAGGCTTTAAATTTAAGTCTTCTTTACACAACGAAACAAAGCACATTTCTCGCATGAGTGCATGGTTTTTGAAACATGATTATAATTTTTTTCTTGCCATCCAGCGGGTTCTAAATCGCATGAGAGAAAAACAAATAATAGTGACAAGGAAACGCTAGCAGTGCTTTATAATATCATGTTTTTCCGTGGGTTGGGATTCACATTTAGTGAAGCGCCTAAACACAACCGAAATCGTTTGAACCCGGGTTCGATAGACGTTTTTAATTTTTCTACTCTTTCTTTCTCTGAAAAGGGAAGTAGATTATACTTATTCCCTTCATTCTTGAGAAGAATTTGAATGAAAGGATGACGATTTGGATGGTCATACGTTTCACGCTTCTTAAACTTAAAAAAAAAACTAAAACAATGTGTTTTGTCTGATATGACACAATATCAAACGAAACTATGCACTATATGCATAACATTACTTCTAGCGAAATGATAATTGAAACGTTTTCCTGTTTTTAAAAGAACGGTTTTGAAAAATATCTTCTTTTAAGTGACCTCGTGTCGAGAATGTAATGTATCACCGTATTGATCCCTTTGTTAGGGAAGAAACTGATATGCCTACTTTAATTAAGTTGACGCCAAAATAAGTAGTTTATTTTTGAGTATTCCGCCCATTTCGTCATTTCTCGTGTATTGTGCATTAAGTAAGGTGGCACTTTCACTATCCTCAAACAGCAGCAACTTATAAATTGGTCGTTTGATTGATTATAAGTCGTGTTTACTGGCAGCTTGATGTTGCTTCGTCATGTTGATGATTCTATATATAACCCGGCTTTTGGTCCCAAGATTACTTTAGATTTTACATCCTCATCTCTAGATCACAACTTTACATTTTTAATGTCTACATTCTTTGTGGTAGTCCTATCTGGCCAATTGTTGTTTTAGAAAAGATGCAGATGACCAATATCAGCCAAATTCCGAATGATTTCATCAATAATAAGGTCTATAAAATAGTATTATTCAGATGAAATGGCCGTAATGATTTGGCAAAGAAACTGTGTTAGAAGGGGAGAGAACGAGCGAGAAGGTATTTTAAACAGCTAGACTACTCGAAAAGCATGACTGAAGCACCAAGCGAATTTAAAAGACGTCTTTGGCTTCTATGTTGTGTTTTTCCAATGCAGGTCTCAAGGGAATTTCCCCCTTTGCGTTTGTAAATTATGCACCCATATGCACGTTAGGACTAGATTTGAAAGAAAGACTTCTACTTTGCGAAAGCCAAACGTACGAGCTTAAGAAGTTCAAGACATCTCTGTGAGTGCTGATTTTCAGCTGTAATTCGAAATAAGGTTAACAACATTAAATTGATTTTTGTCTTTCTCTTTAGATGTGCATGGATCACTTTCTTGTGCTGATTGGACTGTTCATCATTATTCCATGTTACATCAATGGACAAACAGATTCAAGTCTAACAGCCATTGCAGCTACTACAGCACCGTACACGGGATGTAAAACGTCTGAAACACACTCTCCTCCCTCGGTTTACTGTAACGCATATTGTGGTGATGATATACCGACCGTGATCGAACAAGTTTGCGACAGTCGTAAAAAGCGATCAAAGACAGGTATCACGTTCTGTCCTATTCATCAGCAAAATTGAGACGTAGTCTCTGTGGAAGCGGTGCGTTTCGAGTCGAAAAATCGATTTCTTTCAAACTTTGTCCAGGAATCTATCTTAGTCTTAAAATTTATCGAAACCACCTTGGTCTTTTCAAATATAGAAAAATAATTTTTTTCTGAGCGAAAATCGCTTCAGCTCAAAGCTCAAACGCCACTTTTTAATATCACTGATTATCAAAAATGGTACAAATTGCCGACTCGTTTTTTCAGAAAATTCTAGTTTGAGGGTTTTGTTTTGTTTCATATATTTTGATCAACTCTTCATAAGAACAAAGCACGTAAGTTTTGTTATTTTAACGGTTTTTTCACTGAATTTTTTTTTGTTTGACACCTACTTTTACGCTACCGCAATGACCTGAAAAATGCAACTTTTTTATCTCGGGTCAGCACAAAATTCGAACTTCTTTCCCACGATATTTTTATTCAGACTGGCTAAGATGGGATAGAAGAGCATGGGAATGTAAAAACTTGTTGTGGTTTCGGTGAAAATTTTGAATAGCCGGCCAACAAACTGCACGCATTTTCGAAAATTCGAACTAACGATGCACATGGAGCGGTCTCAAAAATAAACGAAATTTATATGGCCAGCTTATAACTGACGCGTGATTTGAGTCCATAAAAGCTTTTTTTTGACTTGCAATAAGACAAAACATCATTAAGTTGAGAAAAATCTTCACTCACTTCATGTAGAAAAACAGAGCTGCCGAAAGCTGACTGTTAGCTCGAGGCGACCTATTGTTTTGTCTATCAGTCAATTATAAGAAAGAGGAAAACTTCGGAGGCCAGGATAGCTATGACAAGATTCAGGTATATTCAGAATATTTCATGTTGTTCATTTAGAAACTCTTCATCTTAACAGCATTGAAAGTGCAGCCCTTTTTATTCGAAAATGTAACCTTAAATCTAATAAATTTCGTAACGAGAACTTTTTTTTATTGAAAGGTCCCCTCTTTTGTGTCTATAAGCTATAAGTTAGCATAAAATCGTCGGAAATAAGATATTTTTCGAAAAAAAAACAAAACAAAACAAACGAATAAACGGGATGAATTATTGATTTGGTAAAAAAAAGGGAGGAGCATCCTGCACGCGTAGCTTGCAATGCTCGCAACACCGATGGCACACGAATGTTTAATCGAATGGAATGGCTTTCAAAGCTTCAAATCCTGCGATTTTTACGCCACTCTCTAGAGTATGCCTCGCTAACAGATGAACAAATGCTTCAAGAAAGCCAGTGTAACAGTCTGAAATTGGTGTCAAGCATACAGTGATGTATGATGTCTACAACCTTTGTGAAATGGCATTTTAAAGCAAACTTTCATTTCTAAAGGATAAGATGCTCAAGGAAATGTGGAAGCATTTTGAAGTCCCATCTAACTCAAGAGACACCAAATCGAGTTTGGTTAAGAAACTATCATAAATGGTCGAAGATTGCTTATTCATGAAAGAGTAAAATTACGGAATGCAAGTTTCAAACAATCACTTCGGTAAATTGAAATTCCTGAAGTCCGCGGAAGCTACGGCATGTTTTTATATTTCCATGCTCTTCTACCCTATTTTAGCCAGTCTGAATAAAAATATCGTGGGGATGAAGTTCGAATTTTTTCACTGAGCCGAGATAAAAAGGTGCATATTTTATGTCATGGCGGTAGCGTCAAAGTAGGTGTCAAACCAAAACTAAATTTTAGTGAAAAAAAAAACCGTGCTTGTTCTTACTACATGTTATCCACAAAGTCAAATTTTTTTCTTAATCTTTTTATTTTCTGGAATTGTAATTCGATTCGGAAAATGAGCCCACTTGATAAACTTGTTTCTAAATGTTTGCTTTCCTTGTAGGTCTAACGTTGAGTGACATCAGCTTTAAAAAGGATGAGGCGTCAAAGTTTCTGTATTTACCTCGCAACCGGATCCACACTAAGAGATCACAAACTGACATTGTCGTCGAATGTTGTGACGAGAAATGTGTTGTAGAGGAGATAAAGGAATACTGTTAATACATGTAGCAAACAGCTGGGGCGCTAATAAAGGTTAACAAAATACGCAATTACGCACTACGGACTCACGCGGTTTTATTGTCTTTGAAAAATCTACTTGTGCTTATTAACACCAAACTGCACTCGAAATCATGTTTTTACCTATACAAAATGGATGTTGTGAAGTGGTAATTGAACTTTTCGTCCGGCAATTTTGGTGTGAAATCATACTTGTGATTTTGAAATCACGCATTTGATTTCAGACCTAATAATACACATGCAAAAATTTAAGCATGTTGATTTGTTTAGGGTAACCCAGAAAGTTGAAATTAAATTGATTGACAGGTAAGTTGCGAAAAGACAACTAAACAAAGTGGCGGACAGGTGAGGAGAAAGTAACAAGTTTTTAATTCAGAGTTTGAGGGAGAATGCTAAAAACAAACATACAAACAAAAACTAACAGGGGGAAAACAAGTGGCTAAAAGTCTGGCTTCCAAAAACGGATATGTAATTATGAACCATAAGCCCCGAATAAAATTGTCGAGGAGTTTTACACAACAGTTCTTATGAAAGACGGGGAAGATTACAAGCGTGATTGCTTTCGTGTAATGAGTTACTGCTGTCAGCTGACACCTAACAGAGAAAGTGTACAAACGCTTAATTATTGTTGAGAGATGTTTTAAAAGTTTTAAGGAACATCTAGAGGGAAAAGCTGGACGACTCCAGTGACGAGGCAAAGGCAAGCGGCCGAACTGGTAAGCCATGACACGAAAAAAAAAACAGCTAAAAAGGAAAACAGAGTCACATTTTTGCTTTTATATCATTAACTAGTAATCACACGATTTTTCCGGTGCAATTTGGGATAAAACAGCACGAGTAAATTTTTCAAAGACTACACATTTCACGAGTCTCACGGGCTCATGCAATTTGGTGAGCCTTTGAAAAATTAACTCGTGCTGATTTATCCCAAAATGCGCTCGAAATCATGTGATTACCTATACAAATTGCACTCAGTTCAATTGCAGTTATAAACTTTGATATGACAAGAGACAGTGCCCCGTTAATAAATAGTATCGTACCACACATACACATTAACACAGCTCTGACCGCTGTTGTTGATCTCACTGCAATCACTTAAATCTTGGCCATACCAAATTTGGAATCCTTGGTTCATTTTAACTGGTAGAGTCTTTGAGCTCGTGTTGAATATTATTTCTGTGGAGACGTCATCAAAGCCTTGAAGGTGGTAAATGTATTCAGTAGCGCACGTATGGCCGGGCTCGCCCATGTCTGCTGTTTCTCTCGTTGGTAAGAAAACAGTGCGGTTGATGTAAGTGACCAGAGTCATGAGAGTCTTCTTCCCGTAACTGGACACTTCACAACCCCAGAACGATCTGGTGCTCGAACTGTGGCAGGTCAAGGCACCCGAAATGTGAACAAGCTTCAAGGCAGAAATGGATCCAGCCTTTGCAATGGTAAATGATCCATGATCGTCATTACGTGCTCCAAAACAAAGAGGATTGGTATTTACCTTGAGCCAGCTCCCTATTTTAAAACCTTAAAAACAAGCAGATTTCGGAAATGTAGGCAGGATTAGCAAAAGGGGACGGGGAGTTAAAGTTTAGGGAGCGGTTGTCGGAGTAGTATTCACTTCATTGATCAGGGACTCGCGAGTAAATTTTTTATGTCGTAAGAATTAGATAGAACCAGATATAAGTAGTGAAGGAAGCTTATTCATATGGTGAGTGTATGGACAATTATTTCATCCAAAATGAAATAAAGTAGAATTGAAAAACCGAGAAACTGCAAACAGTATGAG